AATAGAAGAGAACTGACAGAAAAAAAATGTAAAGCAAAGAAAAAGGAGAATCTTATTATATATTGTACTGTTTAGGAATATAAAAAGAAAGAGACGGAAAAAACAGAGCAGCCGTTCAAATGTCAATTCATCGTAAAACTATTGACATTGTGTCTTTATACATGTGATTACAACTCGAAGGCATCACAATGACTATCATTGAATCACCATTGATGTGTGTTACATTGAAGGACAACCTATGACAAGCAAAAGAACGAACACATGTGCATACACTCATACGTCTGTTACTAACTAGTAACTGATATTCAACCAAACATTATACAGACATTTATATTCAACTTTGTCGTTGCATTGATTAAGCAAGAAAATATTGTAATTGATATTTATTTTAGATCATGGCTGAAACGATATTAAAATTCAGTCGTAGTCTTGTTAAAATTGAGACAAATAAAGATTTTTTATCCGATCAAATTCATTACCAAATAACATTTACTGTACTAATTATATTTGCAATTGCATCAACAAGTCTTCAACATTATGCTGATCCAATTCAATGTATTGATCCAGCTCAATTTACTGAAGGTTATAGAACATTCGCGCGTACTATATGTTTGTTAAATAATACATATTTTTATCCTCAAACTTATACACGATTACCAATGAATAAAAATGAACGTTTACAACATACACTTCGTTATTATCAATGGTTACCATTTGTTTATTTAATTCAAGCTTTTTTCTTTTTATTACCACATTTAATTTGGATAAGTTTTTATAAACGAAATGGTTTAAATCCAGGTTTAATGGTTAATCAAGGAAAGAAGTTTGGTGATAAACCCGAAATAAGTCGTCGACTTGCAAAAGAAATTGAACGTTATTTAATGTGTAGACAATTAGCACAATGTAAAAAAAAATTATTATTTCGTCATAATGTTGATGAAAGTATTGATAATGCTTCTGAACCTCTTCTTTTACCAAATATATCATTTCGTATTCGATATCATACATATTTTCTTGTCATACTTTATCTTTTTATTAAACTACTCTATATTATTAATATTATTCTACAAGTGGTTATATTAAATTTTATTTTATCAACAGGAACATATGGGTTTTTTCGTTTTGGTTTTGATACTATGAAATATGTTTTTCAGTCATCAATACGTGAACGTATAAGTGAATTATCACACAAACATCAACAATTATTTCCATTTGTTACCTTATGTGATTTTCACATACGAGAATTAGGTCAAGACCATTATTATACAATTGAGGTATGTAGCAAGAAAAGTATAAAAATTTAAAGAAATAAAATTTGTTTTTTCTTTAGTGTATACTATTGATAAATATATTCTATGAAAAAGCTTATTTTGCCATGTGGATTTGGTTTGCTATACTTTTTATAATATCAATTATCTCATTTATGTATTCATTTTATAATTATGTTTTATTCTTTTTTCGCTATCGTTTTATCGATAAATTTATTCGTTTAGTTCAAGCTAAAAACAGACCAAAAAGTACACCTGGTAAATCAATGTTACAAAATTCAATAAAAGTTACAACAGTAGATAATAGAGGAGAAAATGATTTGTCAATTGTTGCCGATCATCGAAAAGATTTTGTTCAATGGTTACAACGCGATGGAGTTTTTCTTCTTCATTTACTCAATTCACATTTAGGTGAACCAATAACAATTAAATGTATAGAAGATTTATTGGATATTTGGATTAACAATTATAAAGAAAAATCAAAACTTGCTGAACGATTATTAAAAAATGAATTTCAATTCTCACAATAAAAAACACACGATTATCCTTCTTCATTGGTTTCTAATTTTTCTTTTTTATTGTCTCTGTGCTTCTTTTATGACACTGTTGTTGAATGATAGAAAACTTATTCAAATAAATAGTCGACTTTATGTTTATAACACAAAAAAAGGTGATCTTTCTCTATGTGTAAATCGTATATTGTTTTATTCATTTAAAAGAATTTTTATTCAATTTTTTGACATCAACATTCCAAGAAGACTCTCTTATTTCAACAATCCTCCTAATTCTTAGCTGTTATCATAACTACAACAAGAGAAAAAAAGATGGTCTGCTGTTGAAGAAAGAGAGTACGAAAGAGTTTTTAGACCATTTTGACAACCCTGACAAAGAACGAGCTCGTATAAAAGAACGAGTCGTTGCACATTCAGTTTTTCAAAACAAGTATTCATGTCAATGGAGAATGAAACAAAACATCGTCTGATGACAAATATAATCCATTTAGAACACATTTTTATCACTTCTAACTCTGCATCAATAACCATATAAGCCATTCAGAAAGAGCAGATATTAGCTGAACATATAATGAATAAATAGTACTTGTATCTATATGCTGAAGTAAACTCAAGTATTCATTTGGTGGATCATTACGTATGCCTTGTTAAAGAATACATTTAACTCTATTGGAAGAGCGACACAATCGGTATAGAAAACATGAAAAATTCGGTAGCGTGAATGCTAATGTCTTGCGAGAGATAAAATCGATTGTGAAAGTGTCTGTAATAAATCAATCGAAGTGAAAATTGGTGACACTTGAAGACATAAGATGCACAAATAGTCAACTTTTCAGCCATGTAAACAGGATGTACGCAATATCAGATTCACTAATTAGTGATTGATTCTAAATGATAGTATTTGAATATATTTTTTAACTTCGATAAGTACTAGATGAAGCATCAGAAATGCTATATGATTGATAATCCTAAACTCTCTATTCTTGATGAAAATCAGCTTAAATTGATCGTTGAACTTTGTCCGACTAATCTTTACTTCAAGACATATAATTCGCAGTATGTATGGGACTACTACGCATTCAACAATGAAGATTGAGATGAAAAATATAGAAGAATGGTTCTGCAGTTGTTCGGCTGATGTGAGCAATATTATATGTTTTTCTCGAATAACAATTCTTATTTGGCATCAAAGTATTTGTTGCGGTGAAATCAATTCTTCTGATCATCACATATTCTGCACCATTGATTTACTTTTTCATTATATCGGACTGCATTTAATTCTTGCACCTTGAAGATAGTAATGATGCTAAATATATTTCGTGATATGATGGTAACAAGGATAATTTGTATGCTTCATCTTCTTATACTATGTTAACTTGATTGCATTTTTAATTTTATCATGTCTTAGAATCGAAAACAGAAACATGAAATATGTCAACTAACTGAACTAAATTAATCGAGAAGAACTATATGAATCAGTTTTGCTTTCATGATGGAAATATAAATAAAGAACAGCGGAGTCTGTCCGTCTGCAGCTCGAAAAATATACTATCAAGTTTTAACAAGGACTATCGATTTCCAAACCCTTGCAGGAGCACTTTCGAACTCTAAAGCTCCATGGCATATCTCAAAATATTGAAATGAGTATTATTTGTTCATGATAATCTATTAAAAATATAGTCTAGCTATTGATATTGAAAACAACTAAAACGTTTTTCAAATGGATTGAATCTGCTATCAACCTATTATTCATCTCATTCTATAACAATACATGTATACTGTTTTCAAAACTGTAGGTAGATCGATCTGTTAGTTTGTGTATCTTCATCCGATTGAATAAGACGAAACTTACAGGTGATTGAGACGAAATTTTGGAAATCTAACTGCTGTTTTTAGTTTAAAAAACTTTTGTTAATAAATCTCTGAAAATAAGAAGTTGTGACTAGAGAATGAAGATACACAATGAAATCTGTGATAAAGCTTTCAAGCTAATCAAACAAAGTTAATAAATTAAGAAAACTCATAGTTTAGATTATGCTATATGAGAGAAAAGAATTTCGCTAGAATAAACATATAGAAACAATTCAGCAACTCTCTGTAGGAATAGAATATCAATATTTGTCATTGTACTGGGATTGAAAGCATATTTCAAAAGTATGAGACGTATCGCGGACAAATTTCGGAAAACAAAGGAATGAAGTCTCATCTTTTCTTCCACAAAGTACACTCTTAGCTTAAAGCAGTAAATTCGTTTACCTCAACTGACATTTTTGATTGTAAATGACAATTACGATTATCATTACAAATGATCAACTCGAAATTGACTTGATTAAAAAACCTGTAAGCACAATCCTTGTAGGATTAAAATATAAAACTCTATGTAGCTACTGCTACTAATTACAGAAAACTGATTGATTCTTCATATATCATAACAAGATGTTGTTGATATACGATTTGTGATCGTAAATTAGCAACGTCTATCATTCTGTGAGATACGAGATCTGAATGTTTACCTTTTAATTTCAACACCACTATTGTAGTGTTTCACAAAAAGCAACGAGAGCTGCAGATTAACTACTAGTTAAAACTATGTTTGTTGCCTTTCGCAAAAACCAGCGACCTCATTGTACCTGTTGTATTTCGAGTCTAAAATTCTACTGAAAAACGGAGCCAAAGTATCCAAGTAATAAAGATAAGAAATAAATGTTGTATGTAAAAAAAGATTTTGTAGAATAATCCATTGAGAAAGTACCAACTGTTGACAAGGAAAATTTTGTTTTTGAGTACAACATCGTTGGTGATCTCGAATGCATATTATTATTCAAGACACCAACTATTGAAAAAGTACATTGATAAGATCAAAGAAGTCAAAATAAAGTAAGAGCTATATTATAAAGCAGATAATCATCGACGTTTCCTCCTACAACTCCATAAAAAAGTAATTGAAAATAAGAGACACAAGTACTTAATTTCAAAAAGAATACGATATTTCTTTTTATGATACAAGCCAATGCAATAAATGATAAACTCTTTCAATTGATTTAAATAGTGAAAACTCTGTACGAAAAAATCAAAATACTGTTTCGACTTCTCCATTGATTATAATCTTTTCGATCAGGTAGTATAATTTGATGCTTGTCAGTTTTTTTGACATTTACTAACATATTTAATCAATATACAGAAATTAATGTATATTTTCTGATAAATAATAATCTTTCCAATGGCCGACGACGAAGAAAATGATCCAACAGCACCCTTTAACGAATTAGAAGTATTCGATTCTTTTTGGCACGCTTTAACATGGAAACAAATTAAAAAACGTATTCCAATATGTGCAAGCAAAACAGTTCGTAATCGATACTTTCTGTCTAATATTGTTTATCTTGTAAGCAAACATTCAATTAAATTCACTTTTCTTTGTAAAAAATTGTAATTAGATATATGCTATTGGTATTATGCTTATTGATTTTTCACCAGCAATAAATGGAGGACCAGTAACATACGAAGAACCGTGCATTTGTGACAATCTTACTGCTGCCAATAGCACTGAAGAAGAAGGAGGGGTGGACTATAATACAGTTATAGTCAATAAAATGTATATTGGTGAGTAATAATAATCACAAAATCAAAGAATCATACATGGAATAGTTCAGCAATAACATCGTCAAAGCTCTGTTCTTTCACTTTCTACTATTGAGTTTTGTCAGATATCAGATAGTTACTATGTATAATAAATCACTGAAATAGACGATAATAATACTATTGCACTCTTAAAACTTTCAATTGCATTTGAATAATCGGTGTTTCTATCAGAAGTTAGCTGACACAACTAAATTATAGATAGAATTAATTAAGAAGTATTCTTTTTTCTCTATAACGTGCTTATAAGTAACAGGAAAGAAAAAATAGGAAATTCCAAAAATTTTAGGGTCTGATGTCCTTTCTTAGATAATCAAAACGGAGTCTATTTCAATGTAATTGACATCAAATGCATATCGGTTTAAAGTATTTCTCATCATTCATCCTGAGCTTAATTTCATGCTTTTTAAACATCTTAAAGTCAACTAAATATTTATTATAAAAAGATAAAAAATAATAATTTTTTTGGCAGTTTCTTTTGTACTTATATAAATTTTTCTCGATTATTTTTTAGAGTAAACATAAAGATTTATAACTTGCTTATCGATTTTTAACTTTTAAGAATTGAAACAATGCAAATTGTTCGTACTATTTTGATATTAATGCAGATAACAATTCGTCAATGGATTCCGATTGACTTAGTATTAAGATATTTTGACTAATCTGTGTAATGAGAAAAACTGAGGCGTTAAAAAAGAAACTGATAAAATTAACAAGATTGATGGCAGAGCTGGTCCTAGGATAACTTTTTCTGTCATGCCCTAGTCTGATGCCTTACTGCGTCATAGTCGATGGCAAGATAGGACAATAAAAATCCTTGTATGAATGACACGTTCATCAATGGAAACGAAATATAAAACAATAATGAACTTGTGAGATTTTATCATCATTTTTTACAATATAGTGAATACTATTAAGAAAAAAAAATAGTAAAATGAAAAAGTAATTAATAAAAAAATGACACAATGACAAAGAAAATATTAAAAACAGAACTGGAAACAGAATAACGTTTTCTGTTCCATCCTGTCCTTGCCTAGCTCTATTTGATGATACCAAAAAACGCCAAACGATCCTGTCTCTGACTGATTTTTCTTTTCATTAAGTGATGATGTTACTCATGAACAATATTTACATTCAAATTTGATTTGTGTTTTAGCCTTAGGAGTAATACATGTTATTTCTGCTACATTGTATTGGTGGGCATGGAAAGGTAAATTAAGTTATTTTTGTTTTTTTATTTATTTCTCTTTCATGAAATAGATCATCGTTGGAATGATGTTATTATGCTACCTGAATATTTAAATCATATTGAAGCAGCTTTATATTTATGGACTGCTATATGGTATTCAAAAGCAGCACAAGAGGATTATTATGATTATTATACTTCAGCAATTCATATAATTGAAACAGTTGCAGCATTTGTTGAATTATTTGCATCATTTGGATGGTTAAATGAATTTCAATAAAGAATAATTGAATGTTTTTTTTTCTATTATTTAGGATCATGTCTTGGTATCGAACATATACACGTACGATTGGTCGTGGTTTTACATTAGATGATCCCGATACAGTAGCATATACATTCACAACGTTGAGTTCATTTGTTTATATAACCTATAATATTCAAATATTACAAAATCCAAAAGGTTATGGTCAAAATACACTTTATATTTATGGTGATATTACTTATTTTGTCGGTGCTGTTTTTTATTTATGGGCAAATCTGAGAGACGATGGTTGGCTGTGGTGGATGCCTGTCGCTGGACAATATGGGATAGCTGCAGGAAGAATACAAACAGGAAAACATATTGAAATAGGTCTGCCTCATTTATTAATTAGTGGACCTGAGCCAATTACCAACTGTTGGCGGCAATGTTGTGAAAATGCTTTAGACAGACCAAAAAACGATGTGGTGCCTCTGGATGAAAAAAATCATGATATTACAGACTCTACAAATCGAGTGTGATTTTATTCATGAATTTATTTTATAAATATTCTTAGCGTTTTGTAGAAAAATTCTTTTTTTGTAAATTTTAGAAATACATGAAAGTATTTATCTAAAATAAATAAAACAATTTGAAGCATATAATTAAAATCGAAATCGCACAAGATATAACTATAAACAAAAACCTAGCAAACCAATATCCTTATGAAACCTATAATAGATAATAATATTAAAAATGAATATCAAGTGTGTTCACCGAATAAGTAGCACCTCATAATATATAACATCAAACAATAATATCAATAACATAAATACACGCATCACTATCATGATATCTGACAAGATATTGTGAAAATACAAAATAAAAAAAAGTCAAGTTTGTTGAACTGCTAATATATGAAGTAAGTTTACATTTATCATAGTGTGCAAAAATTATATAGGCGAAGGTCTCTGCCTACTAATTATCATTATTACTCAATTTCATCTAGTTTTTCTGAAATTATCATAAACTTAAACTTGCTTCCTATATAAGCAGTTCAACAAAATTGAGTTTTTTCATTTCATTTCTCTCATATTATCTTATTGAATATCTTGATAGTGATGTATGGCATTATGTTATTGTTGGTACCCATGTAAAAAAGAAAACCAGGAAAAAAGTCATATGAAGTGAGCCGAAGTTGGCGTGAGCCTAAGTGGAGTCCATTAGTCCATACTATACCCATTTCAAATATATGGTACTCTGATACCGGAAGTACCATTCCCATAACAAAACAACAATACTCACAACCCGGAAGTACTGTTCCCAAAACAGAACACAATTGTTCTGTTATGGGAATGGTACTTCCGGGTTGTGAGTATTATTGT